ATGATAGTATAAACAGCTTAGTTATAGCTCCCACAATGTGATAACTATATGAGGGTCGGCGAGGGGTATTTTCGTAAGCTGTAATCAATTGTTTTTATTTTCGTAATAATGTAATTTAAATGAATAAAAAACGTAAATTCGTAAACATGGACAGGGTGTAAAATGTAATCAGTTATTTTATTCCTCCGTAATTTGCACAAAGATCTCATTTTGTGTAAGCATGGACCAAGGTGTAATCTGCGTATAAAGCGTATGTAATTTCCAATTTTGATTCTTAAACACAAATTATCAAAAATATTATAAAAATGTAATTAGGAATTTGCTTTATCTGTAAAGTGTAAAAACCTATTTTTACTGTAAATGGAATTTTCATTTTATTTTCTGTAAAAACGTAAAATGCCGTTTTTATTTCCTGTAACCTGTACCAGCTACCCCCCCCCCCCCACGTTATATCTAGCATATTTAACAAAAAAAATACTTATCCCGGTTTGGTTAAAGGCAGTGACAGGGAGACATACTTGTAAAGGTAAAATCCTTGACGTTTTGCTATTTTTACATGAGGTGGAATTCACGGGGAAAATTGTAGTCATTGTACTATATCACTGCCAGTGTATGAAACTTGAAAACCTGTGCGAAGAATAAGAAATATAGACGAAAAGATTATGAATTGTGGTCGTTGGGGGAGTTGAACATTAAATGGTCGTGACCTACGTTGCCATAAACCTCCATTTATTACCAATTACAACAGTTAGAATCACATCGATTTTTTTTAGAATAACAAATGCACATTTTCAGTCAACCGCGATTAACGTGACATTTGGAAAGTACTGACATTTCAGTACGCCACTCTCGTTTACCAAATATGGATATATGACGTCACCAGCGCCATGTTGGTGGTCTCCTCTGCTGATTTAGTCTCCGGGACAATGGACGACCCGGATTGCATTTTAGACGCTTTGAACGGTAATTTTTGCGTGCTATTAGACATATTTTTATACCGTTTGAGTTGGTTATCGCAGCTAAAACATAATTTGAGAATAACTTTATTTCTTCTTGTAGATTTTGAGAAGAAAAATTGCAATGACATTCCAGATAGATTGGAACAGCTTTTGTGTGATATCGCACGAACAGGCGAAATTCGGTGAGTTTATCCCTGGTTTTAACTTGTATCGTTTTTTGACAACTAGGTTCTTGTTGCCAGTGTTCCATTGTCTGCTAATGCACCAATTGTGAAATGTGTCCGGCATATGTAGGTATTCCCAACGTGGTAACATTTTAATGACAAGGTCAGTGTATTAAAATGAGGCCACGATGTTATTGTAATTACCCGGCTTCAGTCGAACAATTTACTTTTTTAGGTTTACGTTTAATGTCATCTAGATTTCAGTTTCAGTGGACAAGTGTTTGTGATTTTCCGAAGTGCGCATTCAAATGTTTTAGCTCGTAATTAATGGCTGTAAATCACGGCGGCAATCTTCTTTTGTTTCGAACTAAGCCCACTAGTCTGTACACGTTTGTTGTTGGCCATTGTAATATTATTCGTCTTTCAAATGACTAATTCGAAGACTATATAAGAGCTAAATGTATATATAAGATACCTCTGTGGACTAGGCATTTCATATTTTCTATTTCATTCTCCCAACTTCTTTTCTACTGTTTCAATAATTTAATACCTTTCATGATGTCTTAGATGGTTAACTAATTAAGGCACAACATTGGTGTGTTGTACTTCTCAGAAAATGCCTCTTGTTTCAAGTCGTAGGGTTAGGCATGGGGGGGGGGTGTTACAAAAAGAACTTTTTCCACACAATAAGTCCCATTTCATAACTTGCATAATTTAAAATACGAAAGTTTTGATATTCTGCATTGGAAAATGTCAAATTTACTGTAAATGTCAAATGTCAAAATGTACTGAAAGCTTGAACTAAGCTTTCCCTTCAATAGAATCACTAGAATCAGTTTCCTGTATGTACTCATGACTCTAGCCAAAATGACCTTCAGATAACTTCTTATGCAAAATGCACTCTTTTGCATGATAAGGTTTAGTGAAAATTTGAACACTTTGCCAACTGAAACAATGAAGTTTTGAAGATCATAGGACAGAAATCAGGCGTCTTGTCTAAGCCATTATTTCTAAGCCAGCCAAATATTTTTATTTTTATTTTTTTTAATAAGTTAAAGACAATTTGCAACCAATGGTGAATACAGAATAGAAAAGCAATCTCTAATTTTAACCTAATGCACTGATAGTTGTTGCTGTTTTGTTTCATAGCCGTTTTTAAGAAGACAGCTAAGGGTGGTGCTATTGTATGGTTTCCCATAATTAATATGAATTTATTCTGTTTTCTTTATCAAAATTTGGAACTTTATTTTGTGCAGTCGTGATTAATTTGTCCCTATGATAACTGTATTATTATGTACATATATGACATGGTAGCCTTAGTACAGTCTGATAACAAGGCATCTCAGACCTTGATCTCTTCATGGGCCTACCAACACAGGATGAACATTTTGTTTCAGGAGAGTTAATCGACTTGTTCTTTTGTTCGCCTAATAATCTTTTTGATGTACTATGTGCGTTGCCGCTAAAAAAAGTGGGCGTAGCTCTGGTACCGAAAATTAAATGTTTTGTGAATATAATAGTGTTCTCCACAATACAAAATAGCTGGTGGGTGGTCTAATTAGCATAAATTTGCATATTAATTGCATATCATTTACAATACACACTAAGTAATTTACATGTTACAATGTTTTGAAATACAGATTGGTCAATATCAATATTTACGAAATGCATGGTTTGAAATCGGTGATTTAAACTTTCTCAAATTATTCCACGTTCATGAAATGCAATTCGAGTAACGAAGTACAAAACATAATTGAGTTATAATGTAGAAAATATACGAGGTGA